AAATGTCCGTGGTGGCTCCTCACAAATTGATCATAGGATTTCGATGAGCAAAGACTAAGGTTTGAATTGAGGCTCAGAGGCATTCCAGCTGCATCACTCACACAAGTCAGCTGACTTCTCAGTGGGTTTATCCTCATTTTACAGATAATTGTTATGCAGATTCATTCCTTCAACAAACATATTGAGTATCTACTATGTGCCAGGCTCCGCTCCAACGGGGGGTTTTGACCAGGGCCATAACCTGAGCCGATTTGTGTTTTTAAAAAGATCTCTCGGGCCACTGTGTGGAGAACAGATCATAAGGAGCAGGAAGCCAGACTGGGAGGTGACTGCATGGTGACTGGGATGGATGAGATGGAAGATGGAAAGAAATTGTCTGATGGGTGAGGTTGGAGGGGTCACATTTAGAAGGTCAAGTCCCTAAAACATGCTGAAGGCAGAGAAATCAAGGATGGAATCTGGGTTTTTAGCTTAAACAAGGCAAATAATATGTCACGGTTTCGAAGAGGAAACAAACATAGGTACAGCAGTCCTGAGAGTGTTTAACATAGTAAATACCTCAGTCAGTATCCCTGTGGGTGCCTTTCAGGGGCAGGAAGGAGACAGATACACTTGGAAGGGAAAGGCTGCCCAGGGACCATGAGAATCCATGTTGCATTACCTCCTCAGCCTGGCTGAGTTGTGTGTCCACTATTACTGCAGCCAGGGCACCAAGCCCTATGCACAGGCCACTGGACAAAATCCTATGGAGAACTGATAAATGCTGCGATGAATGAGAAGCAGGAGCTATGGGTCCAATGGGAAATAGCCATGCACAAAGGCAACACCAGGCACCTCTGTTCATTGCAGCATTATTCACGGTGGCCAATACATGGAAACAACCAATGTGTCCTGCGGTAGAGGACTGGATAAAGAAGATGTGGTACATATACACAATGGAATACTACTCAGCCATAAGAAAGGATGAAATAATGCCATTTGCAGCAACAGGGGTGGACCTTGAGAACATTACGCTAGGTGGAATAAGTCAGACTGAAAAGGCTAAGAACCATACGATTTCACTCATATGTGGGATGTAAAACTGAAACTTATGATTACAAACAGGGAAGAGGGTGTGGGGAGAATGGGATCCTAATATGAGGTGACAGGAGAAGATTTTACTTCGGGTGGTGGGCACACGGTGCAATATACAAATCTTGTAACATAGAAACCCACACATGAAACCTATATGTTCATGTCAACCAATGTCACCCCAAGTCCAAATAAGGTACTTTAATTATAGCCTCCTTAATTCCAATGAGAACTCTGCTTGGAAAACAGAGGGGAGAGTGGATACATATCTGCTTGCTCCCATCTCAGAGCCTGGCTTGGTAAATGAATTACCAGGAGAGTCAGTGGCTTATTCCATTAGCTCCTGATAGGACACTGCTTTGTAACTGCTGGGAAGGCTTCCCAAGGGGGAGGGGGGGGGGCTGCTTGCAATCTTTGTAGCCAACCCCCAAGGCAACGTGGGTGTGCAGGGAGGTTGATGCTGGCTTGGGCTCAGCCTCCTGCTCCTTCCCGCTGGGCAAGGCCGCCCAGCTGTAAAGGGCATTTCTGGAGGGCCTTGCTCATTTGAAACGGCAGACTCACCCATGGTGCTGTCTTCTGTTGGAAATCACTCACTGATCTCTGCCACCTCTCGAGCTGTACAAATTCAGTTCAGAGCTTTCTGAACTGGAGCCCTCCTGGATTCCGAGGGTCCTCAGACAGGTGTTCTGTTTATATAGAATGGGACTCCTCCTTCCCCCTGCTGCTAGGCTACAAATGTTAAAGAAACAGCATCCGCTTGGCGGTAAAGTTTAATGTTGGTAAATGTCTTATTTAAATCATGTTTAATACTTTCTGCAAGATGGACTTTGGAAGACCATGAAGTTTAGCCCCCTCCATCTCCCCACAGGGGTCTTAAGACCTAGAATCAGTGACTTTGTGATTTCCATGGAAGACAATACATTTTTCCATAGTTTGGGCTCCTTCTTATCCTCTGTCCCTTTACATGCAACATTTCCTCCAAAACAGAACTGTTTTGGAGTTCTCTTGGGACTTTTCTACTTGTCACCGTGATTGTAATACCAATGATGAGAAAGCCTTGCCTACAATGCCAGACCATTTCGTGTAAGTGATCTCTCTTCCTCCTTACAGCCAGCCCTGAGAGGTAGACAAAACAGCTGGAGCTATTGCTACTCTCACATTATAGCCAAGCTCAGAGAGGTATCATGGCCACCACGTCATTCAGTTACCGTGGTCGGCAAACTGCGGCTCGAGAGCCACATGTGGCTCTTTGGCCCCTTGAGTGTGGCTCTTCCACAAAATACCATGTGCGGGCGTGCGTACAGTGCGATTGAAACTTTGTGGCCCATGCGCAGAAGTCGGTTTTCTGCCTGGGCGAGTCTATTTTGAAGAAGTACTGTTGATATTTGGCTCTGTTGACTAATAGTTTGCCGACCACTGAAAGGTCTGCGTTATCTGACGCCATCCCAGATTCTTTACTATGTTGCCTGTCAACAGGCCTTGTTTTGACCACAGCACATTGTTTCTCAGCTGCCCAATCGTTCTGAGAAGGCCTCCAGCTGATTCTTGGCATTCCATTTTCAAATGTGCATATTGGGTTAGAACTAAGACCAATTTAAATGAACAAATATCTCTTAAATGCCTATGTGTGCATGGCTCTATGGTGGCATTCAGGGCATTCGGAGATGGCTCAGAGGGTGAAAAGCATCCTGCCTATGGATTTCAATTCCAGACAGATCTAATTCAAATCACAACCCCTCCTGGGACCTTGAACAAGCTACAATCAAAAGCTCAAGATTAAATGAGATAATGTAAAGTGGCCAGCAATCTTGATAGCGCTAAATTAAATAGTCATGATGCTTCATGTACATCATCTCTTTCATCCTTACAACAGCCCTTAGGAGGTAGGGACTATTCTTAGCCCCATCTTATAGATTAGTAAACTGAGGTGATTGGCCAGTGGTTATGCAATGCAATTTACATTCAGGTCTGCCTAGCTCCAAACACAGCTGCTGCTCTTAATCAGTGTCAGGAGCTGCTTCTTATGAGAAAAACAGGACTGTTCGTCAGCTGCTTGCTGTAAACATATGATTATGGCATGAGCTTTGGGTCAGGGGCAGGGGTCACTGTCATTTAGACTCAGCCCTCCCACTTACTGGCAGGAAAAAAACAAACAACATTTGCCACATTCCCTTCCTCCTATTTGCCAAGTGTGGTATGATTAAAATGCAAATCCACTAGAAACTAGGCCTCACTTCAGAGTTCCTTATGTCGTTATGTGTTTTTGTAAGGCATAGATTCCGAAATCCCAATTACCTCTTGAGGGGATGGTTGAAAAATTTGACCCAAAAAACCAGGCCAATATTGGCCGATCTCCTCAGGGAGATGTTACCTAAGAATCACCAGTGCCTTTGAGAATGTGATAACATGTAATTATTCTCTCCACACACAAAAAAGGCTACATGCACACCCACACACAACTGTGTACACAGTTTCAGGGGGTTGACAGACATCCCTCCCCCACCCCACTGTCCATTTGCAGACTGGATAGCTGGAGTCCACAGCCCTGCGGTTGAATCTGAGGTTCAGCATCCTCATCTGTCTCTCTGGGTAGGAGTGAGGATAGGATGAGATGACCCCAAGGAAGAGCCCGATGCCACTTACCTGTTCAGTGTGCACCAGCCCAGCAGTGGGACAGCTAGAGACAGGAAAACAACCACATAACTGAGCAAAAAGGGCACCACCAAGGGGAGAGACTCTCCTCAAATGAGCGACCTCTCCACAGGTAAGAGCAATTTCACTGCCCATCGCATAGGGTTTTTCATTAGCCTCAATAAGGAGCACTTTGTGGTGCCCTGGAGTGAGTGCTGGGAGGGCTATTGGAGCCACTTGTAAATGTTAATGGCTCTCAGGCCAGCTTCCCTCTGGCTAATTGCTGGTGGAATTGATGAGCCAGCAGGCTCTCCACCCACCTCTCCCTCTCAGAGCTGAAGCTGCTACCCTGTGTTTCCAAGCCCTACTTGGTTCCGCCCATTCCCACCCAGGCAGGGATGCTGCCCACCATGCTGCACAGGCTACACTTTGATTTAGAGCTTAGTAAGGGGATTTTCTCTGGGAAGAGACCTCCATCTGGTGGGCTCTGAGGGCTTTAATACCTCGCTATTCACACTGTGGTCTATGAACCAGCAGCATAGACCATGGAGGCATATTAGAAATGCAGAATATCAGGTCTCACTCTCAACTGAGAATCTGTGTTTTAATAAGACCCCCAGGGTGATTCCTATATGTGTGCAAGCTTGGGAAGCATTGGGGGGGGAGCATCATTCTAATAATGGAATTCCCCTACACGCTTGCAAAGCCCTGGGAAACTTCAATGTTCCTTGGGGGAGATTTGACTCTAAAAATAATGCAGTAGGAATAATGAGTACCGACAAGTTTCTCCCATTGTAAATGCTTCGCAGATTCCACCAAGTGCCCGGGTGGCTGCAGGGCCGACTCTTTGTTAACTGCTTTTATTGCAGCTCCATCCTCCTTGCGAAAATCCATTCCTCCTCTATTTTTCTGGATAACATCTGTTTTAAGAAGAAAGCAATTGTGAGTTTGAGTCTTGGCTCTGCCATTCATTTTATTCCAATAAGCTTAGGTAAGCTCCTTAGCCCTTTATGTTTTTAAATTATTTTTATATAGTTTTATTGATTTCAGAGAGGGAGAGAGAGGGAGAGAGAGATAGAAACATCAATGATGACAGAGAATCATTGCTTGGCTGCCTCCTGCATGCCCCCCACTGAGGATGGAGCCTACAATCCAGGCATGTGCCCTTGACTGGAATCAAACCTGGGACCCTTCAGTCTGCAGGCTGACACTCTATCCACTGAGCCAAACGGGCTGAGGCTCCTTACCCTTTTAAATCTCCAGATTCTCATCTGTAAAACGGGAATGATGATAATTACCTTCATCACAGAACTTGTTAGGGTGAAATGGAATGAGCATTAGCTCAAACCCGGGGCTTCTGGTGCTGAATCCTCGATAAATGGCAGTTCCATGGTTTTGTTAGATAGGACAAGGGCCTCCAGGTCTCGGCAGTTCTAAATGTCATTTCTTACTAAATGTTAAAATGTAGGCCAGCATTTTGTAGATGCAACTATAAACAGGAGCTCAACCAGATGAAAGTAGCCAACTGCAAAGAAGAAATCAGCATGTAATTAATTGGCCAAACAGTGTATGTAAGCAGTGGCTAAGCCCCCCTTTGGGGAGGCAGAGCTTTGGATGGGAATCCCCTGTCTCCTTTACTTGCCGTGAGTAAATAAAACTACCTTGGACAGCCTTGTCTAGTTTTTGACTAGAGCACCCCAAGTGGCAAACTGCTTGAATTTGGTAACTGTTTTGTTTCTCTCATTGCTGCTCTTAGTGTAAGTCCCTAGGAGACCCTGCTCGGCAAGGACAAAAGCTGAGGCTGTCTTCTGACTGCCCAGAACATGGCAGGCTTCTTAAAAATCTGTGGAATGAATGCTTGATCTTCACAACAGCCAGCAAGCTGAGCCCGGCAACACTTTCCCTATCATAGAACTTAATAATCACAAGAACCCTGGAAGGTAGGTTTCATTTCTCCCAGTTTGTAGATGATAGCCCCAAGGTTCTGGATCGGGAAGGATATTGGCCCAGGTCACACAGCTGGTTACCGATCTAAGTCCACTTCTCCCCCTTCTGATCCAAGACCCTCTTTGTTTCACTTTGCTTCCTCCCAGGTTCGTTTTGATAGTGGGGAATGACATGTAATAAGAATAGAGCCACAGTTTGTTTTTTAAAAATAATTATTCACCTTCTAAGTATAGATAAAAGGTTTTCTTACAGACCCTGGAAACTGGAGGATGAAACAAGGCTGAAAAAAAAGATAAGATGCCTCGATGGGTCCATTACTCCGAAAAGAAATACATTTTGAGAACAGGCCAAGGACAGGACATGCTTTGATTTGGTTGCTGTGCCCGGACCCTGACCCCCTCTGGGAGTTTTTCTCAGGAACGCTGACCATTCTCCAGTCCCAGGAATGGGCTGAGCTGTTCGTAGTATCATAGGAGAGTAGCCACCTTGTTGTTGGACTTTGAGCTCCTGAAGGCTGGACTGCAGACCCTCCCCTTCCCTTTCCATATTACACTTGCAACTCTTATGTAGCTATCTTCTGCCTCTTGTGTATATAATCAGCCAACTGGTGAGGGGCATCAGAACAGAATTTCCAGGGTGACCGACTGCTCTCCCATATTGCTGTCATTATTGGAATAAACACTCATATATGATTCGACCCTGTCTCTGCTTAATTTGGCTCAAGTTGTGACAGGCAGCCTCGAACCCATTGTGTCAGGTTTCAGTTTCATCTTAAATTTGTAGATTCACTTTAACATGTGTCATGGGTGGGAAAGAGGAGATTGTTATTATTGTCTTTGTTCACCAACCACTGAGTAGTAGCTAATGAGAGGGGGAAAAAAATAAAACATTTCTTAGCATCTACCCAAAGTCCAGCTTAGTATCCTGCAAACCCAACTGTCCAAAATATTGTTTCCCAAATTCTAGTCTTTGATTGACCGCTTGCACCCTTTTGAGCCTGTCTGATACCACCCAGGCTATTTATTTTCTATTCACCGTATCAGCTCACTTGTTTTACTTAAATATGTTTTAAAATGAGACTATCATACTGGCACCAATGAAAATCTAATAGTACTTTCCAATAATAGAAAGTATTATAAAAATAAATATAATGCAAACAAAATGATCTTTATTTCTAGGCAGACACTGTTGCCTGCAGAAGGCTCTAGGCCCGAGGTCTTCTTTCTCTTCCTCCAAAGTGAGATAACAAGTAAAGTTAGCGCCAATTTGTCCTTGACAGCCAAGCTTTTTTTAAAAAAACAAACAAAACAAAAACCTAATTAGAAGGATTGGGAAACAGAGGAAAAAGCAATGAAAAGGGAATGCATTTATCACCATGTGATTCAGTGCTATTTAATGCTCTTCAGAATCAGTAAAATCATTTCATAAGCTCCGAGGAGTTCCATTCCCTGGGAAACAACACTCCAGTACATGCTATGCCATTCGATGCTTTTGTTACTCAATAGCATCTAATAGCATCAAGACAGGTAGGCCTTGAATCCTCAACCAGTGTGTCCGTTGTCTAGCACACAGGTAATGGACCATGGACTTTGGAGAAACTGCCTGGACACTTAATATTCGTTGACCCCCAAGAAGTTACTTTACCCATTTTGCCTGAGTTTTCTCATCTGTAGAAAGAGGATACAAATAGTAACCATCTCAAATAGTTATTGTGAGGATTAAATGCCTAGTGAAACACTTAAACAGTGCCTGGCCCAGAGTAAGTGCCATGCAAATAAATACTAGTTCTGCCACTGCTGCTTCTGCTGTTACTGATGTTTTGATGTGCCCAGGGCAGAATATTACAATGAAGTCCTTGCCTATAATCCATGTAGTAATTCTTCACCTGTTTGAACAGTACTATCTAAATCTCTTACTCTTCTGAGTCCTCAGACTAAGCAATTTCTGATGTGGGAGATTCCTCAAAAGGATGAACAGACAACTGGCCGGCCTGACTCATGGTTGAGTGTCGACCTATAAACCAGGAAGTCATGGTTCAATTCCCGGTAAGGGCACATGCCTGGGGGTTGTGGGCTCCATCCCCAGTGTGGGGCATGCAGGAGTTAGCCTTTCGATGATTCTCTCTCATCATTGATGTTTCTCTCTCTCTCCCTCTCCCTTCTTCTCTGAAATCAATAAAAATATATTTAAAAATATGTTTTGTTTTGTTATTTAAAAAAGGAAGAACAGACAGCTGGGAAGGAAGTGCTCCAAGGGATGGGGACATTTCTCTGGAGGGAGCTGGCATGTGGTTGGCTCCTGCTGTGTACCAGGCCCTCTGACATGCCATCTGTATTCTCTCCCATTAACCTGTAGTTGGTGCTATTCTCCAAATATTCCCTGTTCCTGCCTTTCATGAACATGGTAGGAACTTCCCTTCCCAAAAGAAATTTGGTGCATCCATGTGACTGACTTTCTGTGGCCAGTGCAATGTGAGCAGAAGTAATGAGAGTCACAGCAGGCAGAGACAGTCAGAGCTAGTGAGTGTTTAACAATATTTCTTTTTTCTTCTTCTTCAATAACCATGGAAATAAAAAGTTCCTGGGTCTGACATGAGCAAGAGCTCTCAGCCAACACATGATGGAAAGTGTGGCAGAGAGGAAAATAAAACTTTGTGGTTTTAAGCTCCTGAAATTTTGTTGACTACTGCAGCAAAACCTACCCTATGCTGGTGGAGACAAGCCCCGAGGTGCTGAAACACACCTGTGTTCTTGAATCTAGCAGGAATTTGTGACCTTTGGAATGCAAACTAGAGTCAGGTTCCAGGATCCAGGTGAGGTGGGCATGTAGTACCTATAACCACTCTCACTCCCCCCCGCTGTCTCATTTCTTCTCCCCTGATCAGTATCTAGTAAAGAAAGTGAGGAAATGTGGGTTCAGGACTCGTCCTCAGTTGCCATCTTCCTACAGAAACTTAAGAAACTGTTTAGTCTCTGGGTCTGTTTGTTGGTGAATCCCTGATTCTTGCTGAATCTCAGGGAAAGAAGGAACCCCACAAAGTCATTGTCTTAGGTCCCTATTTGCTCTCTGTGTCTCCTTTACCTCATCTCATCTAGTCTTTGCTTGAATAATTCCAGAGGCAGGAAGCTTACTAGACTCATCATCTCTATATATGAAAGCCTAAGCCACTAAACAACAGAACTGGTCGACTGGTTGCTATGATGCGCACTGACCACCAGGGGGAAGACACTCAATGCAGGAGCTGCCCCCTGGTGGTCAGTGCACTCCCACAGCCAACCTCCCATGGCCCCTCCCCTCGTCCAGCCGGGCCCCAATCAGCCCTGATCGCTGGCCAGGCCAAGGAACTCCACACGTGCATGATTGTGCACCAGGCCTCTAGTTAATGGATAAACCTGGGCTATGATTGCAAGACTTCCTGAGTTCCTTGAGTGAGTGCTTGACTTACCTGAAAGATGAATAATTTTGAAGGTCCTTTCTTTGTAGGATGATCATATCATTTATCATCCTAACCAGGATACTTTTAAGAATGAAAGGGAGTACTAATAACAATTATACTGGAATAGTAAGTATAAAATAGGACTATCTTGGGAAAATGAGGATGTATGGTCGCTTGGCTTCTATGATTCTATGGCTACCAACAAATGGTATAAATTAAATTCATGGGCAGGGCTGGATTCCATCTTTGGTAACTAACCCTGACTTTTGGTCTACCCTCTCCCCAAAACTCTTGACAACCATTTTTCTTTGGATGGTCTCCCATTCTCTAACCAATTCTCTTGTGAGAATTTTAGTTCAGAGTCATTTCAGAGGGAAAGCATGTACACATCGCTATAATTTCAAGCAAATTTTCCCCACAGGTGCTTCATATTCCTAACAACTGTCTTAATCAGATGCATATTTAATGATTTTTTATGGAGACACAGATGAGAACTGCTCGACCCTTCCTGGAGCTTTAGAATGCTGCCAAATCCCAGTCCAGTTGTGAGAGCCACCGGAATGCCCAGAGCTACGCTTTCTCAGCATCCCCACAAGACCTAAACTTTCATGAAAGTTACTCGAGAGGTAATAGAAGGAGAGGCAGGGCATATTAAGTTTTCTTCTGCAGGCTGCTTGATTGTAATTCTGCCCAGGGCATAGGCTCATTTGCATAGTTGATTTATAGCTTTAATTTGAATATTACAGTGACTTCAGATAAGTCACTACCTTAGTCCCTCTTTGAATTTTTCTTTTAGCAATCCACTCATTCCCACATGGAATCCAGTGAGGCCAGGAGCCTCTAATATCAGAAGATTTACATATCCCTTCCCACTGGGACGGAGGAGTATGAAAGGGGGAGAATGAAAATGAACAAACTGCTCCGTTTTGGAAATTCTTGATTCTTACTCCAGGGCAGTCTGTCAGGTTCAAGACTTACTGATAATTATGTTTTGTTTTTATAATGTGGCTCCTCCAACGGGCACTTTTTCTTAAACTTGCCTCTTCTTTTCTTTTCTTTTTTCCCCCCA